TTGACCGCGGAGTGGCAACTGAAAGCTTTCCCACATTCCTTACACTGAAAAGGCTTCTCGCCCGTGTGGATTCTGTAATGGACATTGAGGCGTGAGAGCCAGGAGAAGGCCTTCCCACACTTATCGCACTTGTGCGGCTTTTCTCCGGTGTGGATTCTTTGATGTTGGATAAGTGCTGAGCTTTGGCTGAAGGTCTTCCCACATTCCTTGCATGCATATGGCTTCTCTCCAGTGTGAATTCTCTGATGTATAATCAGGGCTGAGTGATAACTGAACACTTTGCCACACATACTACAACGAAAGGGCTTCTCTCCAGTGTGAATACGGCGGTGTCTGCTGAGCCGCGATACTGATGTAAAGGCTTTCCCACACTGGCTACATTCATATGGTTTCTCCCCCGTGTGAATTCTATGATGCTGAATAAGAGACGAGCATTGGCTAAAGGCTCTCCCGCACTCATTACACTTATAAGGCTTTTCTCCGGTGTGGATCCGCTGGTGATTATTAAGGGACGAGCTGACTTTGAAGGTTTTGCCACATTCCTTACATTGATAGGGCCTCTCTCCAGTATGCATTCTCTGATGCCCAATGAGTGAGGTGGTGAATCTGAAAGCCTTTCCACACTCGCTGCACACGTATGGTCTTTCTCCAGTATGGACCCTCAGGTGCAGTGCCAGGGACGAGCTTTGGCTGAAAGCCTTCTGGCATTCCTTACATTTGTAGAGCTTCTCTCCGGTATGGATCCGCTGGTGTTTGCTCCGGGAAGAACTGTGGAGAAAGCCTTTGCCACAGACGTTACACTTATAACACCTGCGTGTTGTGCTGACTCCCGGCTGTTTGAACAGAGCTGAATGCTGCTGTGGGTGGGCCTTCCTTCCTCTGGAGACAACTCCAGGTTTGCTAGTACATGGAGACTTGACATCAGGATTTCTCAGGCATTCCACACCTGTGAAGGCCCTCTCTTGTACACAGTCTTTTCTAGTGGAAAGCAGCATTTTGCTGAAAAGTTTGGCCTTGTTGCCTCGCTGCTCCTCTGACTGCTCCTTATTTACATATGTTTTCCCCAATACGAGGTCAAAATAATCATCAACTCTGTGAATTTTCAACATGTCTCTCTTTTCTTCTTTGGAAACTATGGATTCAAACATGCTCTTCCATCCTAAATGAAACAAAATGTAAGTGGTTATTGCACTAGGAATAAAGGAAAATGATACCAAATTCATGAACACAGCTAACAAATCCAAACCCAGAACCTTAGGGAAGGTTAGGAACAAGGACAAAGGAAAAGAAATAGGAGGGTGGACGTTCCTGAAAGGAAGGGTCTGAAGAAATTGTGTGTGGGGTAGGGGAGCTGAGGACATCAGATGGCAGCTCTCCCAATAGGAGGGGGTGCCAGTCTTGATGTAGCAACAACGCCTGGGTCATCAGGTGTTTCTGAGAAGAGCTTGTGTTCCTACTCAGTTTCATCATCCGGCTCAGGTGTCAGTATACCTAGAGAAATCCCCAAAGAAAACAGTAAAGAGGAAGAGGAGGGAGGGAAGAGGGAAAGGAGGAGGAGGAGGAGGAGGAGGAGGAGGAGGAGGAGGAGGAGGAGGAGGAGGAGGAGGAGGAGGAGGAGGAGGAGGAGGAGGAGGAGCCTCTGCCCTCAGGGCTCTGTGAAACAGTTTCAGTCTCAGCAGCGCCACCCTGGCCCTTGGCAGAGTGCTAATGTTGTAATGAGTATTCTCCCATAGACAATGCAAAGGCCAAGGCTCTGGAATTACAGGCGATAACAAGGAAGGGCCAACCCTCACAGGCTTCCACTGAGAGCCAAGCAACCAAACTGCCAAAGAAGTAACCAGGACCTTATGAAAACTGTCTAAGAACAAACAAAACCAAGGCAGTGTGCAGTGGTGGTAACTACCCTGATACTTTAAGCTGGGTGATAAGAAGATGAAGTTGAAGATAAATTCTAAGGCCCAAGATGGTGGGCTGGGTAAAGGTGCACGCTTGCCGAACCTAACAAGTTGAGTTCAATCCCTGGGACTCAAACGGTAGAAGGAAAGCACTGATTCCTGAAAGCCGTTCTCTGAGCACCATACTCAAGCATGGCTTATATCCCAAGCCCCCTCCTGCACAATACAAAATAAATCAATATAAATAAAACCTAAAAACTAAATAAGAGCCAAGATACTTAGGAAACCCTACACGAAATGAAATCATTGATTTGAAAGAAATAAATTTATTTTACAAAGGAGTTTTCACACTCATGATTATAAAAGAGGTCACCTGTCCCCAGAAAACAGGAGAAATAGAATCAGGCTGGGACTTGTTCTCAACATTCGTTGCGTAAAGACACGTGTGGACACTGCTGACAGGGAGCAAGGAATCTAATGCCAGAATTCTACCCCAAAGCCTATTTCTAAAGGAGAGAAGAAAGAACTTAGACACATATGTACACTGTACACATAAACTCTGAAAAAAATATTCATGGAAAATATCCTCATCAAAATAAAGGAAAATCTAAGACAGTTCATGAATGGCAATCCAAGACGAAACTGACTCAGAATGCCAGAGAGGAGTGAATTCTGGGTAAGCAGCAGGGCCCAAGAGAATCATCCTCTGTACCAGAAACAAAGACAAAATCCAAAGCAGAAGAGAAAGGAGGCACTTGTAATGTGGCAATCCGAACCAACCTATTCAGCAGGCATACAGGACAGCACCTGCTGTCGACGGCTTACGAACTGCCTGATGACTATCTGCAACCTGTTTAAGTCCTGTAACTGTCACCAGATTGGTACACCTAGCTTCTCTCGTGCATTTGCACATGTGCATACGCTTCTTTGTTTTGCCTTAACAATGGATATTGAGTGACAAAGTCAAAGCAAAAGCGCAAGACAGTATGGCGATATGTTATTATGAAAATTCAAAAAGTCTGGAACTTTTGTTGGACCTCCCAGTCAGAGTTAATAATGCACCTTGAGATCACTTAAGATTCGAGATACCCTACCATGTATTCAGTCTGTTTGTCTAACCTGCCTTTATGAGAGAAATGTAATGACCATCCTTACTTGCCTTGGATTTTCCATGTAACCAACTTTTACAGCCTAAGCTAATGGATAACTGTAATCTAATTCCATGCCCTTGACCCAGAGAATAATGCGTGTGTGTATGCATGCATGATGTGGCAGTCACTTGTGGAAAGCAAAAACTATGTTGAAAAGCAACATTATAAGATGAATAGCGCCATAAATGTTGAAAGCAGCACTCAGATATTGCTTGATAGCATCTGCTCGTTATCTGGGTCAGTTGAGTCAGTAAAGTTTCATCCCTTGTAAAACTCTGCTAAAGATCTCTGTAAAATATCCCTCATTCTTTCCCCCATAGTCCTGTGACATTCAATAAATACAGAGAAGATCTTTGGTGGGGACACACGAGGGCACAGGGACAGCATTCCTAAGACAGCATTCGGGTAGGCACAGATTTAGACTCATATAATAGTCTAATTACAGACAGGAGAGATGGAAGACACGGGGAGAAAGAAGTAGAGAATTTAAAACTGGCCTTGTTCTTGGTAAAGCCAGTCCAAGGGAAGGGCTCTGATTTATTTTCCTCAATGTGACGCCAACACGTTTTGGATACGCTGAGGCTATTACTGATGCATTTGAGTGAGAGGGGGAACAAGGGACGCACTACAGTCATGAAGGCTATGTTCAAACCACAAAAGTGGAAGAGGCTGTTAGTGCAGTAAGCGTGAAGGGAAGGGTAGGAGAATCAAGACCAGCAGACATTGACTGCACATCATGCTGTAGCCCGAGCTCTCAAACGAGAGCGGCACTTGACAAAGTGCGGCCTGTGCTTAGAGAATTCGCCTTTCCCTCTGAACCCGATGGACGAGGTGACCAGAAACAAAGAGGGGAGGCATGCCCTTCCCAGCAGTCTCCATGTGCTGGCACATCAAAGGAGGTCCCTGGCCAGTGTCTTCTGAGCATAATCCCCTTATTGTCCCCGAAAGGGAGGAAATGCCAAGTTCAAGTCCTGATCCCTCTGCCACTTACCTAGGTAGACACCTTGAAGCATTCCACTTTCCACCAACTGGAAGTCTTCTGCTTGCTCTAACTGAGAGATGATCTTTGGCTTGGAAAACAGAATCCCTGTTCATGAACAAGAAGACATGAGCGGCATACTGGTATGGAGGCCCAGGTCCAGTGGACCCCAAAGTATGGGGGTACAGTGCACAGGAGGAGAAACAACAACCTAAAACTGAGCTCCAGAGGATGTCCAGAGTTAGCCTCAGGATGCAAGTCAGGGCTTTGGCTAGGCACTTCCCTTGGTAGGATGGCTTAGGGGACCCAGCAACAGAGCTGGGTTAGGAGAGCCAGGAAAAACACAAGAGAAGGTGTTCTTTATTAACTCAGCCATATTCAGACTTCTCAGAATCGGCAAGGGGAAAGGCAACCATGAGTGGCCCCATCCACAGGCCAAACCTAACCAGATCCTTCACACGTCCTCCCAAGTAGAGTAGGGATCATGCGTTTCCACTGCAGATCATGCACCCCAATAAACCCCTTACCCAGGGAGGCCAGGTTGCTGTAGTTCTCCAGCATCACCTCCCGGTACAAGGTTCTCTGTGCAGAGTCCAGATGCAACCACTCATCCTGGCTGAAGAACACGGCCACATCCCTGAACGTCACAGGCTCCTGGAACAGCAAACCCATCCCTGCTCAGCCCAGACCACGCCCACACAGAGTGTGAGTGAGAAGCAACTCTGCGAGGGTTTGAGCATTTCAAGCCAAGCAAGCATCTCTGAACAACGGCTTCATTAGCCAGCATGGGATTTATGACATTCCTCCAGTAAGTGACTCCCTGTGCCCCAAGAAACCTCAAATACAGCACCCTACAAGAGAGATCCTGACATCACAAAACAAAATCAGGAAGACAGGACAGAAATTGAGACTAAGAAAGGTATGAGTCATTGAAAGGGAGATGGTGCGGTAGCTGCCATGTTTCTGATACTCTACATATCGTGGGTGGGGCATCTGCGCACAACCCCGAGGCACTTCTACAGTGGAACTTCTTCACCAAGCCAAAGGCACATCTCCACGACCCCAAGCTGCTCACGAAGCTTAGCATCTTTCCTGCTCTGAAAGGGCAAAAGTAAGTGAAATATGAGTGCTGGAAATGAAAGAAGGGACAGTGCCGCCACTTCTGCTTCTTTGCAGCACTGAGAATCGAACCTAGAGTCTTGAGTAGGCCAGGCAAGTACTCCATCTATAAACAATATCCCCAGCTCCTACTCCTTTTCCAAACCTCTGTCCTTTTCAGATGTATGTGACTGTGTGTGTGTGTGTGTGTACCAGAAGTCAACCTCAGGTGTCAAGCTCCTCAGTATGCTATCCATCTTGGTTTTGAGACAGGGTCTCTAACTGGCCTAGACCTTGCTGACTCACTAGGCCATTCGGCCCACGAGCCCCAGGGATCCACCTGCTTCTCCAGGGCTGGGGTGACAAGCAACATGCCATTGCTCCTGGCTTTTTTGCTTGTGGTCGATGCATTGAATCGAACTTAGGTCCTCAGACTCGTGTGGCAGGTAGGTTACTAATGGAGCCATCTTCCCAGACAGTTTGTGAATGTTCTTAATGGCTAAGTCATTTGTCACTCTCAACTCAGGAAAGCAAAACATTTCTGGGTTTCTTACAAGTTCAGCCAATCAGGCACCAAAGGAGTGGCTTGCACCCATCATCAGGGACTCTAAGTCTAAATAAACAAACTTGAACCTACCGGTTTCTGAGCTCTGCTCCTGCATTCCTGCCCTGTCACCTTGTCCTACTGTTCCTTTGGATGTAGCACAGAATCACTTCTAGGCATCAGGCAGACGTTAAATATGAGTATGAAGGTAGGGGCTGGGGTGGGAACAACAGCTCTATTGCTTAATTTTAGCTTTATGGCCAAAAATTATCGAAGCCGGTGAGCATTGAAGAGGCAAGTGAGAATAAGGCTAGTCTGATCTGACAATCAGGTCACAGGACCTCAAGCAGTTAACATACACTGGGGAGGCAAGGGGGGATAAGGTTTCCACTAATCAAAAGTGTTCACTGGAAAAAGATATTAAGAATTGTAGCTAACACCCTAGGGCTGAACCCATCTCTTGGCAGCTACTCTGCATGTACGAGTAAGTTCCTGCTCTAAGAACACCTTACTCGCTCTATATGTCTTGCTGAAATCTTCTTCAGGAGAATGCAAGAACCCAGGGACTGTCTAAGAGCCTGACAGTCTGATATCTGCTCAGTAAGTGGGGGTGAGGGATGCCAGTTAACTTCTGGTCAGTGGCCATGTAACTGATTCCTGAGACAGGAGGAATCGCCCTTTTTGAGTTTCGACCTCACCTTTCAGCAGTTTCTGTTCCTCTTTGAGCCCAGAGAAGCTCAAGAAAGGATGAAATAAACCCGCCTCTTCTGCAGACCGAAGGCAGCTCAAAAAGAAGTGGCCTTTACCCACCTGAACCGGGGCTGGCAGCAACCTCTTGGCCATTCTCCCTCTGTGGCTCCTCCTGAGAAGACACCTGAGGCAGAGGAAGAGGCTGTGAGGTCCACTCATTCTGACTGCTCTCCAGTCCTCACTGGGCCAAACCAGGTTAGAAACCACCCGCTGGGCATCTGCACAGCCCAGCCTCCCCCAAGCAAGATGGAACCTGGGCATGACCACCAAAACCAGAAGCAAGTAAAAAGCACACCTCGTTATAGCTGGCCAAAGACAGAAGTAGGCAACAAGCATGCCTTGATATTGGGTCTGTGGGAATAAAGACAACCAAATCGAGCAATTACAGCTATTGAGTACATGAGCAAGGTAAAAGGGACCATGGCGTGCAACTCCTGGAGGCAAGAGAAGGTATAAATATTGGACACACCTGCACTTGGCCACTCTACATGAAAGAAGTGACTGCAGAATGTGTACCCTTTTCAGAAGCCACCAACTAGAAACCAGTCCTCTCATCCACGTGGGCGTTTGCCTCTGTCAAAAGAATTACCAAAGTCTCTTACATTAACCAGACCCTCGCCGCCCCCCTTCCCCGCACACGCACGCGCACGCACGCATAAGAAACAGCACTAGCTAGCATTGAGTTTAAATTTTGGAGAAAGGGGCCTGGAGGTGCAGCTCATGGAAGAGCGCATGATATTAAAGTCCTGGGTTCCATGTCCAGCATCCTTCCCCTCCTTTCCAACAGTAAAACCTTACAGCAAAGGAACAGAACTTTACCAAAAAAGAATACGGACTGTGGGTCTCACTTTTAAGACACTGTCCAATATCGAAGACCGACAAGGAACGAATAAACAAAGTTTGGGCTCCGGGACGGGAAGCCTGCAGGCGCTGTGCTCAACCGCCCAGACTCGCAAACTTGAAGCCGGATGCTTCCTAGACCGCTATCCCGGCCGCGGGACCAGAGCCACGTGGAGTCAGGGCCAAGGCCTGCACCTGCCGCCAAGGCCTCTGCGCGTTCCAACCCCGCTCGATGCCCTGTTGCAGCTTATAATAAAGTAGTCCCACGCTAGCCCAGAATGGAGTATAATAAAGGTTTCTTTATTAAGGGTAGACTCACAGATCAGCAGTCCTCAGCGTGGGGAGACACTGGAACCGAATCGAGCAGCCAAGGGGCCGGCACACGTTTTTACATATTGTGTATATAGCACATGTGACCACGCCCAAAGTGGGCCAGTATCTTAAAGGCTATTGGCTAAACAAGTTCCCACAGCACAGCCCCACCCCGTGGGCTCCTAGCTGCAACCGCTTTGCTTACAAACCAAAAAATCCCAACACCCAACGAAGGAACCATACTGGACTCAACTGCGCGTGTGCGCGCCCCCTGGTTTCCATTACGGACTACATTTCCCAGATGGCACCGCGACACTCTGTACTGTGCCAGGGTGGGAGACTGGAGCCTAAAGGCTGGAAGTCATCACCTCCCAGGCTTTTACGCACGTTGCATTCATAATTACAATGGTAATAGTACTAACAAGAGCAAAGTGAGTGCCCTATAAAAATGCAGAATAAGGCGCTGGCTGCTTAGTTTGAGATGGCGAGTGGACTGTCCTCTTTCACTCTTTAATAGAAAATTATGATTTTTGTAGCCTACAAAAGAAACAATATCGGGCCGGTGGTGGCTCACGCCTTTAATCCCAGCACTCGGGAGGCAGAGGCAGGCGGACCTCTGTGAGTTCGAGGCCAGCCTGGTCTACAAGAGCTAGTTCCAGGACAGGAACCAAAAGCCAAAAGCTATGGAGAAACCCTGTCTCAAAAAAAAAAAAAAAAAAGAAAAGAAAAGAAAAGAAACAATATGAACCATTTTCCATTGCTGGCTCATACTTTAAGCAAATATAAAGCAAATAAACTTCAGATTATTACTATATTTAGCTTAGACAGATTAGCTACTGATAATCTGGCAGTCCAGATTTTCAGGAAAGCAAAAAGTTAGAGTTAAAATTTATTCATTATTTGAGTTGGACATTGTTAGCTCTTTTTACAAAATTTTTTAATATTTATTATGTATACAATATTCTGTCTGTGTGTATGCTGCAGGCCAGAAGAGGGCAGCAGACCCCATTACAGATGGTTGTGAGCCACCATGTGGTTGCTGGGAATTGAACTCAGGACCTTTGGAAGAGGAGGCAATGCTCTTAACCTCTGAGCCATCTCTCCAGCCCTCTTTTTACAAAATTTTGACCTTGTCTTTGTCCACTGTAAAGGTTCTGATGAATGACAATTCAACCACACAGTTAGATATAAATTATGGTCTCCAGGTAGCAATCAACACAAAGAGCTCCTTAAAGAAGTCCACTGCAAGGGCCACGTTAGATAAGAACAGTGCCTGGAAGGAAGAAGGCCAACAAAAGTTGTGTTGTCTTCTCCACAGAATCAACATGAAGGACTTCTGCTGAACCAAAGTGGAAGAATTTCATCATCAGAAGACCACAAAGATTTAAAGTCACCAAATGCTGGAAGATGTTGTCTACTTCTGTTCCTGTCGAAGTATGCCAGAAGGAATGGCGCTACCCCGACCTAAAAAACACCAACCCACCAACAGACAAAGCATCCAACATACATACTAAAACATACCACTTTAGCATATGGGTTATTTTGACTCCACACTGGGCGCAGGACTTTCTGTAGGTTTTTAGCAGATCATTTTGTCAAGCTAAAGAAGATCCCCAGATGGCTAAACTTTTAAATGATGAATGAACACTACTAGACAGTACCAAATGCCTTTTCTGCATCCATTTAGATAATCATGTTTTTGCCTTCAATCTGTTAATGTAGTGAATTACAGAAATACATTTCCTAAATCATTAATCCGCTGAAGTACATCTCTGGACCGAACAAGACCGGCTGCGACAGGTTTGTCTCTGTCAGTTTGTAAATGTTGGACTGGGTCTTTCTTTCTCTCTGCTTCTTGGTTTGGCTTGAACATTCATTTCATTTTTTATTAGACCTGTGTATTAATTTCAGGGCATGCGTTGTTATCATCTGCAAATGTGTGGTATTTACTGAGCAGAGAAGTTCCTTTGCAACACTGCTGACTATTATGGGTTAGTTTGGTGTCCCGTAGAAGGCTGTGATAGCGCACAAACAAAATATCACCACAGAAGGCTTCACGTGAATATTTTCTATTCTGAGCGAAAGGCCCTCCATGTGGCGAGCTGACACAGACAGAGAGCAGACACCCCGAGAAAAGAGCGCTGTGTTTGGTGCCTCTTTGTCATTACTGTGCCAGCTGGTCTCTGAAAAATGCTGTGATCCTTTTCATTTTTTCCCTGCAGTGCTGAGATGGAACCCAAGGCTTTGTGCATGTTAGGCAGGCAATCTTCCCCTGAGCTAGCGCCCCAGCCTGCTAGATTTTTCTTTAAGATCAGGATCTTGTTTTGTACTAATGTCCTGCTTTCAGATCTGCTTATGGCCTAGCGGTTTGTTTTAGTTTTATCCGCCTCATATTTAAGTTGTTTTTCTTCCTGAGTTTCAAAGATAAATTTTCAACAAGAACACCTGTTCCTTTTTCTTGATATTGTTGTTGTTGTTATTTTTATATTTGTTTTCGCCTGGTCTCCAGTTGCTGTTCTTTCTGCCTGCCAGACATGAACATTGTTTTATCATACTCTTCATTCGGGTTTCTGCCTAGTCATTATCCACCGTGGAAGCTTCCTGTGAATGCAGCTGGGTATTTACATGCAAATGGTTGACCACGGACCAACTTCATATTATCCTCAAAAATTCCCTCAACATGGATCCAAGATCTAAATGTTAGCACTAAAACCATAAAAAAAAACTAAAAATAAAACATAGGGGATATCTTAGTTAGGGTTTCTTTTTTTAAAAAAATATTTATTTATTTATTTATTATGTATACAATATTCTGTCTGTGTATATGCCTGCAGACCAGAAGAAGGCACCAGACCCCATTATAGATGGTTGTGAGCCACCATGTGGTTGCTGGGAATTGAACTCAGGACCTTTGGAAGAACAGGCAATGCTCTTAACCTCTGAGCCATCTCTCCAGCCCCTTAGTTAGGGTTTCTATTGCTGTGATTAAACCCCCATCAAAAGCAACTTGGCTCCCCAAGAGTTGTGATTTCAGCTTCAAACTGAAGGAAATCAGAGCAAGCACTTGAGGCAGAAAATGATGCAGAGGCCATGAGAGAACAGGCTTATTGACTTAATCCTTGTGGGTAGCTCAGCCTGCTTTCTTGTAGACCCAGGATCACCTGCCCAGGCTTGGTACCTCCCATAGTGGACTGGGTCCTCCCACATGAACCATTAATCAAAAAAAATGTCCCATAGCCCAATCTTGTGGGGACATTTTCTTTGCTGAGTTTCCCTCTTCCCAGAGGACTGGGAACTTGTGTCAAGTTGAAAAAAAAAAAAACCCAACCAGTACAGGTAAAATCTTCATGACTTTGGTGTTGGAGGCCGTGTGGGTCAAACACAGATTCCCTAACTGCACTGGAACGGAGTTGTGAGGAATAAACCGACGCAGCTTACAAGGTCATCATGGACTGCCATCGGTGACCATAGCTAAACCATGGCAGTCCCTCTGGAGCATTCTCACAGGCACACCAGCTGTGTGCATCACTAATCGTCTGTCTCTCTGTCAGCTCAAGTTGACTATAGAAATTCCGCCCCCATCTCATAGAGTTGAGAGGAGGAAGTGAGAGATGGCTGCCCCTGTGCAGAACAATGGCCATCTACAAGAAGGCGATCCTCTACAAGCCTGGGACAGAGGACCTGGCTCATGTGCTGCCCTAGTTTCGGACTTCTATCCTCCAGGACTGTGAGAAAACAAATTTCTGTTGTTTGGTCACCCATTTGTGCCATTTTGTAAGGTAGACCAGTTGTCTACGGCACGAGTCACCCATTCAGAATATCTTTGGGCAGACCTTCAACATTTCATCCATGGTTTGTAAAACTCTTTTCTTCACTGAGTCCAAGCAGTTTGCTTGAACCTGTCAGGGGGCCTATGGCCCGTGATTGGGTTGTCCCCACCAGGCATTGTCCCTTGCTGGAGTCCAGTTGGGAAGTCACTAATCTGCCAGGTATAATTAGAAGATGAGGCTGGGGGCTGGACAGGTCCTTTCATCCAGAGTCTCTCTTTAAATGTAGCTCAGCCTCCTGTAATTTTCTCATCAACACATTAGACTTCTGTTAACAGGACATTTTCCCCCTTGGGGAAATGAATTGATGGCAATCAGGGCATATACAGACTTGGTGAGATAAAAGGAATAGTCATCACACACACACACACACACACCACACACACACACACACACACACACACACACACCCTTGGTCAATTGCACAGAATAGTGAAAGTAGCTGTATACTGAGTGCCGAAAATTCAAAGTTTGCTAAGACAGTGGATTTAAAATGTTTTGATCACCCCCCAAAATGAAATGTTTGAGGTAACAAAGTGATAGTCATTCCACAATGATTCAGCCTTTGAAAATTATTAAATGTTAGTAAATGGGACTGCAGTGCCATTTTTGTATATGTGTGCAGCTTATATTAATCTGCCTTTCCCCATTCATCCCGAATCCTACCAGCCCCTTGTTGGGCCTTTTCCACTTGCAGGCTGTTTTCCACATATGAGGGAACTGTGCCGTGTGTGCCTCCACCTGGCTGATTGTGCTACATATGATGTCTTCTGGTTCCAGACATTTGGCTGCAAATGACATTTTGTTCTTCCTTTGTGGCTGGCTAGTACTTTGCCATGTGTACACTACATTTAAAAACTCCGTTTATATGGTGCTTCACTCTTGGCGAGATGTTGTCCCTGGTTGCCACCAGGCTACCCTGTGGCAAGCTGCCCTGAGTGCTGCTCATACCTGACAAGTCCAGTCTTTGCACATCGCGTCCATGTGGCAATTGTACTGAAGAGCCTTTTCCATGGTGCAAAGCTGGAGATAAAGAAGCTTGCAGAGGGGTGGTGACAATGAATGTTGATGAGGGATGGATTGTTCTAAACAGCCCTCCCTGCTGCCACAGAGAAGTCTAAAGCGGCCTTGGTATTGATAGAAGAGCCTAGCAGAAGGACAGGCAGACAAAGCAGCAGTGGGATGAGGGATGTGGTGGTGGCTAGTCCTCCCTGCCTTCTTAATAGACTTAGAATCACCTGGGAGACACATCTCTGAGTGTAACTGTGAGGGGCTTTCCAGTTAAGCTGAGGATGGAAGATAGGCCCTGAATGTGCATGGCACTATGACTGAATATAAGTGGAAAGGAAGTAAGCTATCTGGGAGCACCAGAATTCATCTCTTTTCTTCCGGACTGTGGCTGCAA